CATAAACTTTCATGATTGTTTTGATATACCTACAGTCAGTTGTGGGCACTGCCCAGAGGAGGGCAATCTAATCCACTTGAATGAGTAGAAAGACTTAAATATGAGTGAGACATACACTCCAGGTACAGGAGGTAACTACTGTATCACTTCATGTCTTTCATTCAGACAACCACATTTTAATTACAAGATCTATGTTTCTTTTTCATACAAACCAGCCACTTTTTTGCTTTTTACTTTAATTTCAGGATACATTATTTTAATTAATTAATACTTATAATAATAATTCCTTACATTTATATAGCATTTTTCTGGACACTCCACTCAGAGCTTTTTACAGGTAATGGGGATCTCCTCCACCACCACCAGAGTGCAGCTCCACCTGGATGATGCTCCAGTACTCTCACCACACACCAGCTCTTAGTGGGGAGGAGAACAGAGTGATGAAGCCAATTCAGAGATGGGAATTATTAGGAGCCCGTGACTGGTTAAGGCCAATGGGAAATTTGGCCAGGATGCCAGCATAACATTCCTACTCTTTTCAAGAAATGCCCTGGGATTTTTAATGACCACAGAGAGTCAGAACCTTGGTATTATATCTCATCTGAAGGACGGCGCCTTTTTACAGTATAGTGTTCCGGTCACTATACTGGGACATTAGGACCCACAAAGACCGCAGGGTGAGTGCCCCCTTCTGGTCCCACTAACATTTTTTTCCAGCAGTAACCTTTTTAATACACAAATACTAGATCAAGGGTCCCCAGTCCTGGATTTAGAGTGTTGATGTGTCTAAAGGTGTTTTCAGGTGTTTACTAAAGTACCAGCATCTGAATAATTGGGAAAGATAGTAAATTGATCTAATCAAGCCAGTAATTACCACAATATCACAGGTGCACACTGGAGAATTAAGGGTACAACTAACATGAGCCACTCCTGACTGTATGTGATGAGAACAAATTGATTAGAATCAGTGGCTACATCTAGAATCTTTATAGATGATGTGGAAGAGATCTGACAAGGTCAACTGTGCCTTAAAATGAGAAAATAGTGTTTGAGTAAACAGACTAGAGATGATAAGGAAACTGTGTGACTTGTCGAAGGTATATATTGGATTAAGGATTCATTTAACACGAGGCAGTCCTGACTGCATGAATTGAAGACAAATGGAATGCAATTACCCAGCTACATCAGTTGTCTTTATAAGTGCTGTGGGGAGGTCCTGCCCATGAGGAGGAGTCCATGCAAAACTCACGTCTTCCTACTTCATTTAACCCCACTGCACTGGAAGACAACAGAGAGAGAGAGCAGGGCCCTGATCACAGTAACTTTATGGGCTTTAACCTCAGGATTTTAACAATGTCTGTTCTAACTGGACTCCTCATGGCAATCATGTACTTAACTGGTGAGATACTCCCTTGTCTTTGTGAATTATACAATTCTTAAAATTATCATTTTAACATTTTAAAAATATGTTTTTTTTTTCTTTTCACAGGTGTTCAGTCCCAGATTGTGCTGACTGAGTCTGAACCAGCAATTAAAAAGCCTGGAGAATCCCACACTCTGTCCTGTACAGCCACAGGATTCACTTTCAGCAGCTATGCTATGAGCTGGGTTAGACAGGCTCCTGGGAAGGGGCTGGAATGGGTGGCTTACATTGGTACATCTAGTACCCCAATATACTATGCCCAATCTGTCCAGGGAAGATTCACAATCTCCAGACAGGACTCCAGCAGTAAACTATTCCTACAGATGAACAACCTGAAGACTGAAGACACTGCTGTGTATTACTGTACTAGAGAGTCACAGTGAGAGAAGTGAAGCCTGAGTCCTGACAAAAACCCACAACTGTGCAAACCACTCATAACAATATCGCCCAGCAGTGTAAACACACATGTTGTACTTGTTAACCTTTAAAGGCATTGTCAATTTCTTCCCACTATCTTTCTTGTTGTATTCCTCTGAGGTCAAATGAGACTCAGAGAATGAAAAGCAAACAGAACTTTTTTCCATCAGACAGTGATGATCAGACTGCAACACAGTGCTTTATTGATCAGGGAAG